AGGTCAGGAGTTTGAGACCAGCCTGGCCAACATGGTGAAATCCTGTCTCTACTACAAATACAAAAGTTAGCTGGGCATGGTGGCATGCATCTGTAGTCCCGGCTACTTGGAAGGCTGAGGCAGGAGAATCGCTTGAATCCAGGAGGCGGAGGTTGCAGTGAGCCAAGATGGCACCATTGCACTCCAGCCCGGGCAACAGAGTGAGACTCCATCTCAAAAAAAGAAAAAAGAAAATTCAAAGGGAAAGGCGTAACTGTACAGCTCAGAAACCTGGCAGACACCACCCTAATAAAATGATCAGCCCCAGCCCTGATCTCACCAGTAATGGGATAATGGACATCAGGTTCCTCAGATCTGCTGCCCTGGCGAGAACACAAACATTTCTATGGGAGTCCTGCCAAAATTTAGTCACGAGGAAATATCAGACAAACCACACTGAGGGTAATTCTACCAAAAAAAAGAAAAAAAAAAATCCCTATACTCTTCAAAAATGCAAGAGAGAGAAACTGCCCCAGATCAAATGAGAACTAAAGAGACACGGCAAGGGAATACAGTGTGTCCTAGATGGGATCCCAGATGCTGTTAGCATTTTCTTTTCTTTCTTTTGCTGTAAAGGACATTAGTGAGACAAACGGAAGTTGGAAGAAATCTGTAGATAAGCTATGGTATGTATCAATATTCACTTCCTGACTTTGACTGTTGTCCTGGGGTTATGGAGAGAATGTCCTTGGTTTTCAGAAATCATGCTGAAGAGTTTAGGAGTGAAAGGTCATTAACTTTGCAGTTTACTTTTCTATTTATTTATTTTTATTTATTTTTTTTTTGAGATAGAGTCTCACTCTGTCTCCCAGGCTGGAGTGCGGTGGCACGATCCTGGCTCACTGCAACCTCCACCTCCCGGGTTCAAGCCAGTCTCCTGCCTCAACCTCCCTAGGAGCTGGGATTACAGGCCCCCATCACCACACCTGGCTAATTTTTGTATTTTTAGTAGAGACACGGTTTCACTGTGTTGGCCAAGCTGGTCTCGAACTCCTGACCTCAAGTGATCTGCCCACCTCGGCCTCCCATAGTGCTGGGATTACAGGCGTGAGCCACCTCGCCCAGCCTGGAGGATGCTTTCTCTAGAAGCAGGTGTTGGGGTGCTTTCCCACGGAGGAGGTGCATGGGGTGCCTCCCCTCTTGCAGGTTGAGTGAGAGGGCTTCAAGGAGGCCATCTGCAGAGCTTCACCTGTGTGTGCTGGACTCTGGGGTCTCCGAGGCTGGGAAGGCCCGTGCCTGGAGAAGCCTGCAGCCTGGCCAGCTGGTCCTTGCTGGGATCAGGAGGCACAGCTGTGCAGTAAGTCTTGTCAGGGCGGGGCCTGCCTGTAGGCTTTTCCGGACCCAGCTGAAAGCTGGCTGAAAGGAAAGGGCTTGGAGCTGTGCAGAGTGGGTCTTGGTGCGTGAGTGCAGAGAGGCTGGAAGTGGGGTTGGGGAGCGGGTGGATAGTGGAACCCAGCCAGCTGGTCCTTGAGTATTGTCCCAAGGGGCAAACCAGAGAAGACACCACCCAGGAAGAGACCTGTAGTAGGAGCTACTCCCAGCAATGGGGGCACCAAAGAACCCCCAAAACACCCTGCCAGAAACGAGCCAGCTTGAAACATCTCCAGCCATAGCAAAGCCACACCAGAGAACAAAGGACACCAGGCAAGCAAAACCTTTCCTGCCCTTCCTTCTACCTGCATTCCCGCTCCCACCGTGGAGGAAACAGAGGGAGCTGGAGGGTAGAAGGAGCTGGACAGAGGATGGGGCCAGGGGAGCGCAGAGCACTCCTTAGGTTCCTCCTCTGTAAAGTGAGGTCACGGCCACATCTCCCTGTAGGGTTAGGGTTAAAAGAGATCATCCGCCAAAGGGCTTGCTGCAGTGCCTGGCACATGGAAGTGTTCATAAACGCCCTCTGGCAGCAGGGGCAGAGTCCACGGGACCCAGGGGAACAGACAGTAGAACCCTGGTTCTGTGCACTCAAGCTGTGGAATTACATGTATTGGAGATGGAGAGACGTTGAGGCAGGAGGAGAGTCCTGGGGAGGGGAGGCTGGTTCGAGTCTGGAGGGATGTCATGGCCCCACGTCCGGACAGCTGAGCTTCTGCAAAAGGAACCAACAGCAGCAGACGCATGGGCGGGCAGGCGCCCCGGGGCTGCTGTCCAAGACACTCTCCAAGGACCTGGGCAGGTGGAGACACTCCCTGCTGGTGAAGAGGTGGCTCCAGCCACTCTCCTGCCCAGTCAGGTCAGGCTGGGAGCCCGCTGAGCCCCACCCTGCTGGCCGAAGGGAGGGGATCCCACGCCCAGGTGATCCAGCAGAGGCCAGAGGAGCCAACATCATTCCCACTCCCACTGCACCTTTGTGCAAATTAGAGAAGGCACCCCTTCCTCTAGTCATTCCCGCCCTTCCTTCTACCCACATCCCCACTCCCACCAGGGAAGAAACAGAGGTGGGGCAGAGGGCAGAAGGAGCTGGAGGAGAGGCTGGAGCCAGACATTTCCATGCCTGTCACAAGCGCTGGGCGTCATGAGTCAAGGTCCCAACCCGGAGCAGAGATTCAAACCCTGGGGCACGGGCCTATGCAAGCCTGATCTCATGCACGAACAGCTCTAGCTGGTCAGGAAACACTCTCTGATTGGATATGCTTGTTTCTCCCATCAAGTGACCTGCAAAGGTACAGGCTCAAAACCAAATAGCCCCACACCAAGGATAAGTAGCAGCACTGGCCTCCAGGCAGTGATAGGATTGAATTTGACATAAGGAACAGAAAAGGCTAATCAGAATGTTCTGCTGTGCTGAATCTGGGGAAGAGGAGAACTGAAACCAAAAAAGCCCAGCAGGGATGAATGATGTCTTAGTCATGAAACTGACAGCAGCTGTGAAATAAGCCACTTAGAAGTGAGGCAGGCTGCTGCTAAGCTGAGAAGGTTCAAAACAGGACTCGGTGATGTGCTCAGGTGAGAACTTCAGGATGCATCTTGTGTTCTTTCAGCTCTATCTGGAGCAGAAAAAAAAAAAAATCTGAGCCATTCTAGGTCAGGAGGGGTTGGCAGGTGGAAGTGACAGCCATCCTGCTTTGGAGCTGGGATGATCTGGGTCTCCTTTCTTCCTGCCTTTCCCTCCAACCCCAGGAAGCAGGAGTTGGTGGGCTTGGTTCTCCCCTGACCAAAGAGAAATGGATGTTAAGGAGCAGCCTTTGCATCAGGCACTGACCTTGGGTCCAGACAATGATAGGCAGGGTGGGAGGACTGACCTCACCAAAACCAGTGTTCCCTGGTCTTCATATGGGGGGGTGGGTGCATGGGGAGTGCCCTCCATCTGTTAGCTCTTTAAATCCTCACAAGAACAGCTTGAGGTAAGCACTATGATTGTTCTTAACTTAGGGATGGGGAAAATGACTTTCAGAGAAATTAAGTGACTTTCCAAAAGTTACCCAGCTGATAAGCCATGAAGCCTCGGCTAGCATCCTTGTTTGGGGGCCTGTAGCCCTTAACCATATCTCTGTTCTGTTTCACTTTCAAGTGGAGTCCAGAGCCATATTAAAGTGTCGAATGGACCGGATGCGGTGGCTCGTGTCTGTAATCCCAGCACTTTGGAAGGCTGAGGTGGGATGATAGCCTGACGTCAGGAGTTGAAGACCAACCTAGCCAACGGAGTGAGACCCCATCTTAAAGAATGACAATAAAAAATAAAAATAGGGCCAGGTGTGATGGCTAACACCTGTGTTCCCAGCATTTTGGGAGGCCAAGGCGGGCAGATCACGAGGTCAGGAGATCGAGACTACCTGGCTAACACGGTGAAACCCTGTCTCTACTGAAAATACAAAAAAACAGCGAAACATAGTGGTGCACGCCTGTAGTCCCAGTTACTCGGGAGGCTGAGGCAGGAGAATCACTTGAACCTGGAGGTGGAGGTTGCAGTGAGCTGAGATCACACAACTGCACTCCAGCCTGGGGACAGAGGGAGACTCTGTCTCAAAAACAACAACAACAAAACTCGGTGCTGTCCAAATCTTGCTGCAGCATCCATGCTCCTCAGTAGAGAGAGACAGCCTTAGGTGGGGAAACGGCCAAAAGCCAGAATGGGAACAGTTCTCTGGAGGCTGAGATGGGAGAATTGCTTGAACCCAGGAAGCTGAGGTCGCAGTGAGCCTAGATCGAGCCACTGCACTCCGGCCTGGCGACACAGTGAGACACTTTCTCAAAAAAAAAAAAAAAAAAAAAAAAAAGAAAAGAAAAAAAACAACAGTTCTCCTGATTTGGATCCAGGGCCTGCTCCTCCTCCTCAGAAGTCCTTCCCAAGGATCCCTGACATCCCAGGAGCAGGAAAGAGGTCGTGGTGGTGGAACTGCGCCTGGAACCCACCTAGGTACTCATTCACCAGCTATGTGAGCAGGCCGTCACTTCGCTTCTGTGGCTCCGTCTGCAAAATGGGTATAGCCCAAAATACCAGACTCACAGGGCTGCTGAGAGCTTAAATGAATAACACACATACACAAAGCATCTGCAATACAGGTGCTCAGTCACCCTCAAGTCCAGCTATGTCGTCCTCCAATAACGCAGGTACGGAAAAGAACCTACTCCCACCCACCCGCGCCCCCACCCCTATACACACAAAGGGCAAACGCAAAAATATGACGAAACACATGCGGGTCAATGCTATTTGGATTCCTGAAGGGAGAAGTTTCTTCCCTTATGACGGCACAAAGGAAAACAAGAATGCCCGGACCAATGGGAAGACTGCAGATTTGGGAAAGCCCTCATTCTTTTCCCAGAGGCTGCGAGTCCAACTTCCCCAACCACAGCAGTTTGGCCAGAGGGTTTCTTCAATAGCCCGGCGTGCGGGCCTGCGGGTAAGGGCGAAGCGGGGCGGGGTCGGGAGCGGAAGCAGCGCGGGGGCGGGACCCTCTCCGCGGCCCACGCGGAGCCTGGGGGCGCGGACTACAGCTCCCGGCCTGCCCCGCGCGCGGTCCCCGCCCACCCCCGGGCCCGAGAGGAGGATGCAGACGCCGCGGCCGGCGATGAGGATGGAGGCCGGAGAGGTAGCGCCGCCGGCAGGGGCGGGCGGCCGCGCCGCGGGCTGCTGGGGCAAGTGGGTGCGGCTCAACGTCGGGGGCACGGTGTTCCTGACCACCCGGCAGACGCTGTGCCGCGAGCAGAAGTCCTTCCTCAGCCGCCTGTGCCAGGGGGAAGAGCTGCAGTCGGACCGGGTGAGGCCCCCGGGGTGGGCGGCGGGCGCGGGAAGGCGGTGGGTCCTCCGCGCGCCCGACTCGGGGCTGTCCGGCTTGGCCCGCCCGCCAGGCTGGGGACGCGGCGGGGTCCATTTCCGAGGAACTGGAGGCGGGAAGAACCGGCAGGAGGAGGGGAGGGAAAGGTGGGTCTGGCATGAGGGATGTGCCCATTGCCTTGGCAACGGGACAACGCAGGCTGCGGCCGTCGTAAGCTCTCGAGCCGCCCTGGATCGAGGCCTCTCCTTCTCTTTGGGGGCTGTGGTCAGGGAGAGACCTGGGGTCTTTCTTCCCTCCCAGAGGGGACTCCTGCTCTGGGGAAGGAGTCGACGAGGCTACTTCTCCCGCCCTTTGGGATGTGGGTGGCGCAGTGGTACAGGGAGCTGGATGGAGGAGTCCTGGGGCGCCTTCTGAGCTGGGCAGAATCTAGGAGGAGCGCTGGCCCGGTGGGCACTATTTCTGAGCACCCACCCTGACTCTGCTGCACACTGCCTTCGCGACCTTGGGTCGGACCCTTCCCTACACTCAGCCTCCTTCCTCGTCTGTAATACGAGGGGCTGGTCTGAAGATGCCCTCTGAGGTCTCCTGTCCCCCATCCGTGACCTCACCTCTCAATGTCTCCAGTCTCTGTAGAGTTGCGTGGAAGCCCACCCTGCCTCCCTGCCCTCGAGAGTGTCCAGTGAGATAGTGGCTCCTATGGAAACTTGTAAAATCCCCTGAAAGACTAGGGACCTTGGGGCAACGGTGGGGCTGGCTTCAGGGGACAGCCTCTAAGAGGGACACTCGCTGGGCCTGTGCTGGGCCAGGTGCCACTCAGACCTCCTCTAGCTGGATGCTCACAGTGACCCCTAATTACGGGGAGAGGAGTGAGGCTCAAAGAGCCTAGATCATTAGCCCAAGGTCACAGAGTCAGGAAAAGGCAGAAGCAGTGTTTGAACCCATGTCCATTTGACCCCAGTGCCTTTTTGCTCCTTCGTGCCTGCTCCCTCCAGGGAAGAGCTCTCCCTTGACCCTCCCTCCCTCCCTGTGTATATGCGGGGTTAGCCAGGGAGAGGCCTCACTCTTTTCTCACTGAGCATCCCTCACCTCCATAGGATGAGACCGGGGCCTACCTCATTGACCGTGACCCCACCTACTTTGGGCCCATCCTGAACTTCCTCCGTCATGGCAAGCTGGTGCTGGACAAGGACATGGCTGAGGAGGGTGAGTTGGTCCAGGGGGCTGGCCTGGGGCCCACATCCTAGCCCATCCCTCTGCAGCCTGCCGGGGCCCTCTGTGGAGGCCCCAAGCCATTTGGACAGCCAGGATGGACATCTGCCTGCTTCCTTGTTTCTTGCCTCTTCCCACCTGGATGGGACAGATTCCTGGGCATCTGCCGGCGCCAAGCCTGGGGCTCTGCCAGGCAGACAGGCCCAAGCTTTCCCTGGGTACTGTCAGGGAGGTGATGGAGAGACACACGTGCGGGGGATAGAGGAAGTCAGCGAGGCCCTGTGGCCTCTGCTGTGGGCTGTGACGCCTCCCAGGAAGCCAGGTGTGGACCGTCACACCCAGAGGCTGGGGTGAGGGGAATGCGGTGTTGACAGGCATGGGAAGAGCTCTTTCTCTGGCTGATCCAATATCTCAAATTCTGCTTGGTGAGGGCTTGTAAGTGGGTGGAACGGGTGACTATTCACTAAGTCTGGCAGTCTCTGCAGCAGAGTGCTGGTTGTGGGTGGAGGCAGTGGAGGGGGGGGAGTCTGCTTCCCAGTGGGGCTTTAGTTATTCCCAGGCCTAGGTGGCTGAGGCCCTGTATATACCCGTATCTGGGCCTCACAAACAGTAAGACAGCCCTGTCTGGGAGAACGACCTGTCAACGGCCCCAGCCAGGGGCAGGGAATACCGTCAGTGCCGAGTTAACTCTTCTTTGGGACACAGGGTGTGGCTCTGGGTCAGCTGATCCAGCCAGACCAGCTTGCACATGTCACCTCTCACTGCGTCTCCACTGGTATCTGTTAAATGGGGGTGGTGATCTGGCTTCTGGAGGGAGCTGTCATGAGTCCCATGGACAGATAGCACTTGCACCTGTGCGTGCCTTCCTGCTCAGGGCTGTGGTCCGTCCTCCTTGAGCCCTATGGGACACAGTGGTCTGGAGGCCCAGCAATGCTCTAGTAGGTCAGGGTTGCAACATAAGAGCCCACTGTAGGTGCCAGGCCCTGCAGGGCCCCGAGGCTTCCCTGTTCATCCCTAGGGGAGCACAGATACCATGGGCGTGGCCTAGGCTCAGGAGCAGGTCCCACCGGAGGGAAGTAAACACCCCAGCTGCTTCACAGCCAGCACCTGTTTACAGGCTCTGAGTCCTCAAAGCCCTGCTATTCCCACACCATCAGACAGGGATGTCCGGGGGCCAGAGGGTCAGACAGGGCTATAGGGGCCTAGGGGTGGTACAGGGCTGTGTGGGAGCTAGCGGATGGCACAAGGCTATCAGGTGCTAGGGATAGCACAGGGATATCGGGGGCTAGGGGATGGCACAGGGCTATGTGGAGGCTAAGGGATGGCATAGTGCTGTCAGGGGCTAGGGGATGACACAGAGATATCGGGGGCTAGGAGATGGCACAGGGTTATGTGGGGGCTAGGGGATGGCACAGGGATATTGGGGGCTGGGGGGTGGCACGGGGCTATGTGGGGGCTGGGGGATGGCACAGGGCTATGTAGGAGCTAGAAGATGGCACGGGGATATCGGGGGCTAGGGGATGGCACGGAGCTATGTGGGGGCCAGGGGACGGCACGGGGCTATGTGGGGGCCAGGGGACGGCACGGGGCTATGTGGGGGCCAGGGGATGGCACGGGGCTATGTGGGGGCCAGGGGATGGCACGGGGCTATGTGGGGGCCAGGGGATGGCATAGGGCTATGTGGGGGCCAGGGGATGACACGGGGATATCAGGGGCCAGGGGATGGCACAGGGCTATGGGGGGCTAGAGGATGGCACGGGACTATGTCAGGGCTAGGGGTTGGCACAGGGCTATGTGGGGGCTGGGGGATGTCACGGGGATATCGGGGGCTAGGGCATGGCACGGGGCTAGGGGTTGGCATGGGACATCAGGGGCTAGGGGATTGCACAGGGACATCGGGGGCTACGGGATGGCACAGGGCTATGGGGGCTAGGGGATGGCACAGGGCTATGTGGGGGCCGGGTGATGGCACGGGGTTGAGGGCCAGGGGATGTCACGGGGCTTTCGGGGGCAAGGGGATGGCACGGGGCTGTGTGGGGGCTAGGGGATGGCAGGGGGCTATGTGGAGGCTAGGGGTTGGCATGGGGCTATGTGGGGGATGGGGGTTGGCACAGGGTTATGTGGGGGCTGGGGGATGTCATGGGGCTATTGGGGGCAAGGGGATGGCACGGGGCTATGTGGGGGCTAGGGGATGGCACAGGGACATCGGGGGCTATGGGATGGCACAAGGATATGGGGGCTAGGGGATGGCACAGGGCTATCGGGGGCCAGGGGATGGCACAGGGCTATGTGGGGGCCAGGGGATGGCACAGCAATATCGGGGGCCAGGGGATGGCATGGGGATATTGGGAGCCAGGGGATGGCACAGGGATATCGGGGGCCAGGGGATGGCACGGGGATATTGGGGGCCAGGGGATGGCACGGGGCTATGTGGGGGCTAGGGGATGGCACAGGTATATCAAGAGCTAGGGGATGGCACGGGGCTATGTGGGAGTTAGAGGATGGCACAGGAATTTTCGGGCCAGGGGATGGCACAGGGTTAGGTGGGGGCTAGGGGATGGCACGGGGCTATGTGGGGGCTAGGGGATGGCACCAGGATATCGGGGGCCAGGGGATGGCACGGGGCTATGTGGGAGTTAGAGGATGGCACAGGCATTTTGGGGCTAGAGGATGGCACCGGGTTAGGTGGGAGCTAGGGGATGGCACGGGGATATTGGGGGCTAGGGGATGGCATTGGGCTATGTGGGGGCTAGGGGATAGCATAGGGATATCGGGGGTTAAGGGAGGGCTAGGGGATGGCATGGGGATATCAGGGGTTAAGGAATGGCATGGGGCTATGTGTGGGCTAGGGGATGGCACAGGGATATCGAGGGCTAGGGGATGGCTGGGGGCTATGTGGGGGCTAGGGGATGGCACAGGGCTATGTGGGGGCTAGGGGATGGCACAGGGCTATGTGGGTGTTAAGGGATGGCACGGGGCTATGTGGGGGCTAGGGGATGGCACAGGGATATCGAGGGCTGGGGATGGCAGGGGGCTATGTGGGAGTCAGGGTGTGGCATGGAAATTGGGGGCTAAGGGATGGTACAGGGCTGTGTAGGGGCTAGGGGTTGGCAGAGGGATATTAGAGGCTAGGTGATGGCACAGGGCTATGTGGGAGCTAGGGGATGGCACAGGTCTATGTGGGGGCCAGGGGATGGCACGGAGATATCGGGGGCCAGGGGATGGCACAGGGATATCGGGGCCAGGGGATGGCATGGGGATATCGGGGGACAGGGGATGGCACGGGGCTATGTGGGGGCCAGGGGATAGCACAGGGATATTAGAGGCTAGGTGATGGCACAGGGCTATGTTGGGGCTAGGGCATGGCACAGGGATATTGGGGATTAGGCAATAGCACAGGACTATGTGGGGGCTAGGGGATGGCACAGGGCTATCAGGGGCTGGGGTATTCCACAGGGCTAATGTGGGGGCTAGGGTATGGTACAGGGATATCAGGGGCCAGGGGATGGCACAGGGCTATTTGGGAGCTGAGGGATGGCACAGGGATATCAGGGGCTAGGGGATGGCACAGGGATATCGGGGACTAGGGGATGGCGTGGGGCTCTGTAGGGGCCAGGGGATGGCACAGTGATATCAGGGACTAGGGGATGGCACGGGGCTATATGGACTCTAGGGGATGGCACGGGGATATCGGGGACTAGAGGTTTGCATGGGGCTTTGTGGGGGCTCGGGGATGGCACGGAGCTATGTGGGGACTAGGGGATGGCACAGGAATATTGGGGGCAAGGGGATGGCATGGGGCTATGTGGGGGCCAGGTGATGGCATGGGGCTGTTGGGGGCTAGGGGATGGCACAGGGCTATGTGGGGGCTAGGTGATGGCACAGCGATATCGGGGGCTAAGGGATGGCATGGGGCTTTGTGGGGACTAGGGGATGGCACAGGGATATTGGGGGCCAGGGGATGGCACGGGGCTATATGGGGACTAGAGGATGGCACCGGGATTTCGGGGCCTAGGGGATGGCACCGGGATATCGGGGGCTGGGGGATGGCATGGGGCTATGTGGGAGTTAGAGGATGGCACAGGAATTTTCGAGCTAGGAGATGGCACAGAGTTAGGTAGGGCTCGGGGATGGCACAGGGATATCGGGAGCCAGGGGATGTCACAGGGATATCGGGGGCCAGGTGATGACATGGGGCTACCTGGGAGCCAGGGAATGGGACAGGGCTATGTGGGGCTAGGGGATGGCACAGGGATATTGGGGGCCAGGGGATGGCACCAGGGCTATGTGGGGGCTTGAGGATTGCACTGGGATATCGGGGGCTAGGGGATGGCACCGGGCTATGTGGGGTCTAGGGGATAGTATGGGGATATTGGGGGTTAAGGGATGGCATGGGGCTATGTGGGGGCTAGGGGATGGCATGGGGCTATGTAGGGGTCAGGGGATGGCATGGGAATTGGGGGCTAGGGGATGGCACAGGGCTATGTGGGGGCTAGGGGTTGGCAGAGGGATATGAGAGGCTAGGTGATGGTACAGGGCTATGTGGGGGCTAGGGGATGGCACAGGGATATTGGGGGCTAGGGGTTGGCACAGGGCTATGTGGGAGCTAGGTGATGGCACAGGGCTATGTGGGAGCTAGGGGATGGCACAGGGCTATGTGGGAGCTAGGTGATGGCACAGGGCTATGTGGGAGCTAAGGGATGGCACAGGGTTATCAGGGGTTAGGGTATTCCACAGGGCCATGTGGGGACTAGGGTATGGTACAGGGCTATCGGGGGTTAGGGTATTCCACAGTGCCATGTGGGGGCTAGGATATGGTACAGGGATATCAGGGGCCAGGGGATGGCACAGGGCTATGTGGGAGCTGGGGGATGGCACAGGGATATCGGGGGCTAGGGGATGGAATGGGGCTATGTGGGGGCTAGGGGATGGCACAGGGATATCGTGGGGTAAGTGATGGCATGGGGATATCGGGCACCAGGGGATGTCACGGG